CGCCAGCGCCGCGCTCTCGGGCCCTGCCCTCCCCCCGCCGTGCGGTGCCCACGCGCTTCCGCAGCCCGAGGGGCGCGTCGTTTGGGCTAGTAATAATAATAATAAAATAATAATGAATTTCGCTCGTGACTGAATTACCCGAGGCTTTGCGGTCGTATGAACTTGTCTTCACTTTGCGTGGAGATGGAGGAGAGCCTGCCCCTGAAAATGTGACTTTTTCTAATTGGCAATCATCCCTGTTAAGGACGCACAAGCCGGGTGTGGTGACGCACACCTGTAATCCCAGCACTCGGGAGGCTGAGGCAGGAGGATCGCCACGAGTTCGAGGTCAGCCTGAGCTATATAGTAAGACCCTGTCTCAAAAAGCAAGACAAATACGTATACAGAACCAAAAATCATGGAACGCACCTCTAAAATAATGGCCAATCGCCTTTTTTTTTTTCTTTTTCTTTTATTTTTTTGGAGACAGGATCTTATCATGTAGTCCAGTCTGGCCTCACAGTCGTGGTGATCGTCCTTCCTCAGCCTCCCGAGGGCTGAGATAACAGGCACTCACCACCACACCCAGCTGGCATTCATAATTTAACAGTTCGTAGTAGAAGTAGAACCAAATTTTCTTTTAAAAGAATGTAGTTGTTGGCCATCACATAGGCCAAGATGAACAGCGATGAAAATGTATGTAGTTTTTTGTTTTTGTTTTTTTAGATCTTTTTGAGACAGGGTCTCGCTATGCAGTTCAGGCTGGCGTTGAGCTCACTTTGTAGCCTAGGCTGGCCTCGAACTTGCAACGATCTTCCTGCCTCAGCCTCCGGAGTACTGGGATTACAGGTGTGTGCCACCATGCCCGGCTGTATGTAGTTATTTGAGTTCGTGAAATTACACTGGATGTGTGTGTGACTCCGTTATACAGGCAAATAAAAGGGCCCGGATCCAATTCCTAGCACCAAAGCATTAATTTTAGAAAGATATATATATTTTTAAAGGTGGTAGAAAAAAAAAATAAAGGTGGTAGAGGGGGCTGGGAATTTAGCTCAACGGCACAGCGCCTGCCTGGCAAGCGCAAGGTCATGAGTTCGATTCCTGGTACCGGAAAAAAAAAAAAAGAAAGCACTTAACTAAAGGTGGTAGAGTCTTGCATGGAGGGAGAAGATCAGAGGACAATGAACCGACAAATGTCTTATTTGACTTATATGTATCTTTAGCAGAACAATGAGGCGAGATAAAGCACGTTCAAACTAAAAGGTTACTATCTTTCGGGAGCAAGCTGTGACTTTCACTTAGACCAGACACAGTGGTGTCGTTCTACAACGTGGAGTTAACTGAATAACATAAATTCACAAACTGCGCGGTTACTGTGGATCTCACTTGGTTGGGGGACCGAGGCAGTCACAGTTCTTCCATTCCGTTGCAGCCTTAATTACAAATACCGATAACATGAGATCCATGCGTGACCCTTCACACAGTAATGTGTAAGGTACAGCAGGCTCAGGAAGGTTTCAGGGGCTGCCGAGAGAGGAAAGGCACACGGCTGATAAACAGCCAGAAGGCTCTGCCGGAGGGCGGATCAGGAGGCCACAGGCGTCCAGGCGGCAGAGGTGCGGAGCTGCCAGGTGAAGGGGCCAGGCTGCGCCCGGGCCTGGCCAGCGGGCCATGTCCGAGGCGCAGCTTTCATGTCCCAGCCGAGGAGGGCGAACGCCTCCGGAGCGCACGCGGAGAGGCGCTCTGCCTGCCGGCCTTCCGGGCAGGGTTCTGGCCGTCAGTGACCCGCGGGTGGCATCAGTGATCCCTTCCTCCTTCTGTAAAGCCCAGGGGCGGGGTTTAAATCGATACCCCCCTGTCACCCGCTGGTACGGGGGATCGAACCCGGCTTTCACACAGAGCTCCACTGCCAGCCCTTTTTGAGTTTTGATTTTGAGACGGAGTTTTACTAGGGGGCCCGAGTGGGCTTGAGCTTGTGACGCACCTGCCTCAGCCTCCCAGACTGCTGGTGTTAGGGGTGTGCGCCACCATGCGCAGCTGCACCTGTGTGCTTGATAAATACATGTGTTGTTTACTGGACATTAAACTCAAGGTCCTTGGCACTTTT